ATGGGAAAGATTTTTACATTCCAGTTACGATGCACAAGGTTGAAAATAAGATTGAGGTACATCACGTTAATGCAATTTCATCTATTTCTGAAGATACAGAGTTAAAAAAAAAATGCATGAATTGCGAGAATAAGTCAAACCGTGAAAAAGAACTTGAAAAGGCATTATTCGCCAGTATTCAATCAGTTTCTGAAGTAATTGGGTATTATAATAATTTGTGTGATCGATATGTGTCAAAGACACTAGCTCCGCTATAAATTACAAATCTAAGGAACAGATAATTTAGAGGTAAGAGTACGACCACTTGCTCTAATCTTTTCTATATCTTTTCGGCTTCTCTTATGTAATTCCAAAACATCTTCAGTCTCTTGCAAGATAACAGGTGGTATAGTTTCTTTTTTTGCTTCTGAAATTCCACCTATCTTTTCTGTCTCACAGAGTGAGGATGTTACTGCATCTAGATCTTTATTAATAAGAGGCTGATCAGAAATGCGAGTAGACTTGGATTTTGATTTCCTCTTTTTTTTCTCTCCCACAACTACAGATATTGGAATATCGTTTCCTGGATTGGCCAAAGATGAATTCCAAGTATTTGTACAAACCACTTTCCCTTTCCATATCTGATAAAAACGGGTATTTGACATAGGATATTTGTCTCTAAGCATATCTAGAGGTTTGGATTTTGCATCTTTATATTGTATAATATAATCATAGTCTTCTGATGATATCCTGGTTGCATCAGATCGCATGGTCTTGATAATATCAATAATATATAAAAAAATTATCGGTAATATCGGTAATATCGGTAATATCAATAATATATAAAAAATTTATCAGTAATATCAATAATATATAAAAAATTTATCAGTAATATCAATAATATCAATAATATATAAAAAAATTTATCAGTAATATCGGTAATATTGGTAATATCAATAATATCGATAATATTAGTAATATATCTATTTCTTAGCATTTATTTTTTGGAAAAATCATATGGCCAATGTGCGTACATTGCAAGATACCAAAAGTATGGAATCGAAAAAAATACGAGGGCAGTGGTATAGGCTTGGAAGTGTCCGCGAACAAGAACTCGAGGAGGCATTACGTGATAGTATCAAGTCCAATTCTGAACTCATTGATGATTTCAAAAATCTCCAGGCGGTATATTCAAAGTTTAGTAAAAATATCAAACAGAAGAATGCTCAGTTACAGCGCAATCTGAATCAGGCTGATGCAGATATTTACTCTCATGCTCAACAACATATATCTGTAGTCAAGAAATTGGGAAAAGAGATATCTAACTACAAATCCGAGAATAATCGCCAGCAGATTGTTATTAATGATTATAATATCAAGTTAGATAGCATACAAAATACATTATCAGAAAAATCGAGTGAATTAGAATTGCTTCAATCTGAGATTAAGACATTGGAAGCTAAATTAGATTTAGCACAAAAAGACTTGTCCATGAAAGAGGAAACAAAGCTTCGAATCTCCGATTCATCTGAGGTCTTGTTCCTCAAATCTAAATTAGCTGAATTGGAGCAAATGAAAGATGAATTATCCTTAAAAGTTAGCGAGCTGGAGCGTTTAAAATCAGATGCTATATCTCGGGTTTTACCATTGGGAGAAGCAATTAGTGGAGGTGGCGAGGGGTCGAGTCTCATTTCTTCTGCAATAGTGGAACCTTTAGATTTACTAAAGAAAAATATGCGTCGAGACACTAGTTCTGCTATAGCGAAATCTGATGTTATTTCTGCTGTTGATAAACCTAAGTTAGATTTTAGTAAGTTTTTACGAAAAAAAACAGAGATACCTGAATATGCTATAAAGATCAGTGAGGATAACCCAGGGACTTTGCCCCATAATATGCGGAGCATAGAGTCTCTGGTTCATATACCTCAGATAAAAAATGTTTCGGAAATAGAGCATGAACCACATCCACAGATTTCAATGGGAGGGATGGAAGCAATCCCCGCTATGGCAAGTACTATATTGTCACCAACTATTTCATATGTCTTACTTATCTTGTTAGCAGTCGTCATTATTTGGTTCATATTTATCCGACGCATATGGAATACTCAGAAAAAAAATGAGAACCCGCGGTATGAGTGGGTCAGGTAACCAGGTATTAGTATTGCTTCGCCTATTTGAATATGGGTATATTTATTGTACAGAAAAAAATAATTAATATGTATATATGATAATGATATGTGCCTTGGCACTAGCTCTGGTATAAAGATATATTTGGTAGCATTAATCGATAGCATAACCAGATAGCGTGTAGATAACATTTCCCGATTGCATTATTTTTTTATTAAATATTCTGTGCGGTATATATTCTTAAAGAATTTAGCATAGATATGATTGATCTATTTGGTGACGAAGAAGTATATGACGAGGAATATGAAGTTGAAGACTGTCATGTTCACAGGAATTATCCTATGTGTACACCATGTAAAAAGTGTGGTAAGTTAACTTTTTCTAAATATGATGTACGTATAATGCACGCTGGTAAGTATCGATCTCGAGATCATTATCAGCGAAAAAGGCTAGAGAAAATAGCAGAAAAATCAGAAGTGCTTAAAGAAAACTCATAGCGATATTGATATCATATCTATTCGTAGACCTGCAATCAAGAATCCTGTTACTACATCTAGCATACATATTGGTAGCATTAATCGATGACATAACCAGATAGTGTGTATATATCATGACCAGATAATATATATAATATGTCCCGATCGTATTATTTTTTTATTAAATATTCTATGCAGTATATAAAATGACAACAATGCAAGATCGCAAGAGCAAGCTAACTCAAGCTATTGATAAAATTATAACGCAAAATATTGAGGAAGCAGACTGTAATATTCATGCTACTAAAGCTATCAATAAACTCTTAATACAGGAGGTTGGGAAGGACTGGAAAACTTATATAGAAAAGCAAGATCGTTTCAAGAGAAGTGTCATCCTCCTCTTGTGAGAGGGTTGCGATCGTATCCGGAAGTAGAAGTGGATTATACGAATGCATATTATAGACTAGGTAGGTGAGTGGAACAAAGAGGTATAAATTACACGGAAAATTCAAAACTTTAAATAAAAATTCGTGTGATGGAATTATGGTGCAAAAGCGATAAATTTTTCGAATCGGTAGTACGCAAAAGTAATATATAGTAAGAATAAAATTTTCGAATCGGTAGTATGTAAAAGCACGATAAATTTTTCGATGTGGTAGGACGCAAAAGCATGATAAATTTTTTGAATCAGTAGTACGCAAAAGCAATAAATTTTTTGATATAGTAATACGTCAAAGTATGACCCAATTTTCTTTTGAATCAGTAGTACCCAAAAGTATCGACTATTCGAGAAAGCTTCCTAGAGATCCAAAACATAGCAAACATTAGCAAACAATTGGTGGGACGCAAAGGTAGAATTATATATAGGAAAAGAAAGAAAAAATTTTGCTTTTGCGTCCCACCAAATAGATGGAATTCGGCACTTTGTGCCTCAAACCTGGCATTCGAATTCAAGATACAAAGCCAGATCACGAATACTATTTCGGCACTTTGTGCCTCATCCTCGAATTCGAATGTGACATACAAAGCCAAAATACGGATTGCCAATTTGACACTACGTGCCTCATCCTCGCAATCGAATTTATCATAAAAGCCAAAATAAGCATTTTTCCTGGAGTGATACTTATAGATGACCGTCCACATGTGTGGACGATGGACATGAAAGTTACATGGCGGAGACTGAAATCGCGGAGACAGATTTTTTCAATCAATCGTCATCCAAATGACGACGAATTCGCTGATCAATCGTCATCCAAATGATGACGAATTTGTGGATCAATCGTCACTCAAATGACGACACACGCATACCAGGATCATAGTCATAGTTATATCTACCTAGTAGATACATACTCTAGTCATAGTAGATACATAGTCTAGCCCTAGTAGATACATAACCTGGCTAAGTAGATACATAATCTTAAAGATTATGTATCTACTAATGGTATACTGTATCTACCTTAGTTGATATATATATATGTCATACTTTCGATATACAATATATACGGTATACCTATAGGAAAAAAAAAAGAAAAAGTAAGGACACTCGAGTGAAACTAGTGACACTGGTGACACTGGTGACACTTATTGAGAACAGTTTTATTTTAACCCAAATTTCCAAGAAGTATCACAACTACCGATTTTTTTCTAGTGACAAACTAGTGTCAACTGGTGCCAACTGGTGACAACTTGTAGCGGTTAATATTACTATGTATTTTTTAGATACGAAGTATCCTGCTCTACAGTAACCCCATTTTGTGCCATCTTCTCCAGCTTCTTCTGATGATTATACTCTCTTCTACGATGTTTCTGTGCATGGGGGTCACAATAACCATAATCGGAATAAGTTAACTTAACACAACCATATTCTTTGCAAGGATAACGAATAGGTGAATCCCGGTGAACTTTGCACCCATTGGGATGGTAACATGGCCGATTACAGACTTCTCCAGTTCTAAGGATATAGGGACAACGATAAAATGCCATTCTTTTTGATGTTTATCTTGATTGAGTATATAATATGTACTGATCAATATTCTTTAGAATTAATTTTCATTTTGAACTTTTTAATTCCGAATATTATACTTTCAGAAAAAACATGAGTACCCAAAGTGAACATAGCATGCCTATTGTACCTGTATCATCCGATATACCAACTGTGGAAAACCAAAATTTCCAGAGCGAAGCTCATTGTTCCACAATAGAAAACATCAATCACGCGCCAACAGAGGCGGAAGTATCACTTTCTCGACCAGAGAGCCCAGAAAATTTCGAGCCAGAGTTAGAGGAAGAAAATAACGGGGCGTTGTACCACCGGGGGGCCAAAGCTTTTCCTCAATCACAGATTTCGGAAAATAAAAACTCAGAAAAAGGTCAACTTATCCGATATTCTGGTGAAAATTATTTAACAGGATTACCAACTCGTGATAATATAGTTGCAGAAAATGATGAGGGCTTGTCTACAATTCTTAATAATGCTTTGGCTAAACGAGAGGAGATCCCTTTTATGGCTGTCGATTTTGAGGGTTCATCAGAAAAAATAGGTGAAAAAAATCGTTATGTTTTACGTCTTTATGGCTCTCTTATCAATGGCCAAAAGGCGATAGTTACTCTTACAGGAATCCAGATATTCTTTGATATACTTGTACCCGATAATGAATCTGTAGATGACTTTAAAATAAAAATAGATGAAATTATTTGTAATACAATAAATATCTATAAAATAGGATACATTAATGCCTTCCCTTTGCGTGGTTACCATACAGAAAAAAAGTCATATTTACGAATTTTTACACTTGGTACTGGAGATAGAAAAAAAGCCCTTCAAGCTATTCAAGATAAAAATTTTGAAACTGCCTCAGATGATATGTTCTCATTTCATCGTAAAATAGCTAGAGAAAATGGAATCGCAATTTCTGGTTGGTCTACGATAAGCAATTATATATACAAAAAACATTCTCATTATATACACGATTTTAGAGTTTCTGTAAATGATTTTCGACCAGTAGAAGATCTAAAAATGATAAGTGACCGTTTTCCGATTTCAGCACTCATGAGAGATCATACGCTTATTCTTACTTGGGACATAGAAACACAATCACGAGAGTTGGGCGAATTTGCTGAAATACATGATGAAGAAAATATTGTATTTATGATTTGTATGACCTTACACTGGAAAGACGATCCAAGACCGTTAAAACAAATCTGTCTTGTCGATCTTGAAACTGCACCAGACCCACGATGGATAACAGTTGTATGTGGGAACCAGACAAATTTACTAAAAGCATTTGCATTATGCTGGAAAGCCTTCATCCCTGATATTCAACTCGGATTTAGCGATTCCGAATATGATTGGCCATTTATTATGGAAAGAGCTTATAGACTTAATATTCTCGAATGGATGTGGAAACAGATGACGGGAAGATTTAAAACGAAGGAAGAAATTCAAAAATGGAATTATTACGGGAAAAAGAGCTTATAGTTAAACGAAATGTAATTAATGATTATAGGGAGATTGCTTCTATAGCATATGTATCTTTATTTGATTCACATTACCGGGCTAATGGAATGAAGGTAAGAAATCTTCTGGGTGCTTATGCTTTCAAGTGTGATATAGTATTTAGTACAAGGGTATGTAAAAATATAGAAAAAGGGAAATTTCCTGGTGCATACGTTTTTCCACCTAAAAAAGGTATAGAAGCAGAAAGGCCAGTGACGGGTCTGGATTTTGCATCTTTATATCCCAGCCTTATTATGACTTATAACCTTTCTCCGGAAAAAATCATATTAACACCAGATGAGGCTGATTTTGTGCAAAATAATGGAAATAACTTGCATAAGATTGAGTTTCCATTTAATAACCACATTGTCCAAGCTTGGAGTGTGAGACATGATAATAAATTGGAAAAGAAGGGCTTATACCCTATCGTATTAGAGGATTTATTTAACAAGAGAGTAGAGCTTAAAGCACAACTTGTCCCATTAGGAAAGAAAAAAGAACCGCTTGGAAAAATGATAAGTTCACTTAAAAAGAAAGGTAAAAAGATTCCGGAAAGCTTAAATTTAGAATACTTATCCATATGCTTCGATTATGATTATTTAGATTCGAAGCAAAAAGCTTTGAAGGTATATATGAATACTTTTTACGGGGAAGCAGGAAACTCAAAATCTCCAATCTTTCTTTGTGAATTAGCTGGAGGAACTACTTCAGCAGGAAAATACAACCTTAATCTTGTCGCTGAATTCGTAACAAAGAAAGGGTTTGGAATAAAATATGGGGATACCGATTCTTTGTATCTCTCCTGTCCAATTAAATATTATGAAAAATACGATAAAGCCTTCTCCAGAAAAGAACTTTCTAAAGAAGCATATTGGAGTGAAATGGTCAAAATTACTATGGATGCGATGAAAAAGTTACGTGATCAGGTCAATGATTATCTTAGAATAAAAAACGGCACATCTTATCTTAAGATGGCATATGAGGAGGTATTATTTCCCGTCTGTTTTGCTGGTAAGAAAAAATACTTTGGTGTACCACATGAAAAGGTTGTCAATTTTAGGCCAGATAATCTCTTTATGAAAGGAATTGATACTGTAAAGCAAGGGAATTCTGAGCTCTTCAAGTTTATCGGAAAAAAGATTATGCAGGAGGCTATGGATATTAATAATACACGAACGATTCATAAAATTGTTGAAGATACTCTCAGAGAGGCCAAACATAAGCAATGGGACTTTAGTCAATTTATTGGGACGGCTACATGGAAGCCTAAGAAAAAAAATCTTCGTGTCCAGCGTTTTATAACTCGAATGAAAGAAAAACAATTGAATATCCCAGATCCTGGTGAGCGCTTTAGTTATGTAGTAGTAAAAGGTGAGCGTTATCGTGATGAAAAAGGTCGATTAATACAATATAGAGTTGGTGATTATATGGAATATCCAGAGTTTGCAAAAGAGCTTAATAAAGAAATAGATATTAATTACTACTTAGAAAGTACATTAGGATTATGTGCGCGGTTTATCAATGAAGATGAGAAATACCAACCATCAACTTCACATAAAATTATGCAACTCAAGGATTCGGATGAAAAAGAAAAGCAGATTGATGCATATTCCCAGAGGGAAGCTAAAAAATGGCTTACGAAATATGTTAAAGCCTTGAATTGATTAGCTGTGCTATTATATTGTTAAGTATTCTTAGCTAAGATCGCCACAATCTATTAAGATACATATACATTATTAATAATATTTTTTTCATACATAAAAAATACCCAAGTTCAAATAGATAGTCTTATTATCCAGCCAACGCACCCCGTAACCGCTCATTTTTCCTTTCCAACCCCCATGTGCGTCTCAATACCACGAACCACATAACCGCAATAATTAACAGGGTAAGTAGCATATATGCTGATAG